TATGAAAGAGCTTAATATAAAGATCCCTAGATACGCAATACCCATAGAAATCAAACATGAAAAGAATATTTAGTGATTAGAACCTTCCGGTTGACAATGAGATATTTTCCGTATTATAATTTATAGATTTATTTATAGACATGATTTTCGTTGTCATAATTACTGATTATGTATTTAATGTCGATTTGGATAAAAATTTTTGTTTAAACTTTACGATTTCTTTTCTTATTACATATGATATTTTTACAATTTAGCGATTTCTCTCTTTACTCGTGAAACTGTTGTCAAAAAATTTGAATTTTTTATAGCTGTTATAAATTTAAGCTATGTTTTGTGTACACAGCTAAAGTGGATATAAACATCCTAGCTAGCTTTACATTATGATTGACTAAGAATTCGATTGAACGGTAAAAATGGTGGTGGGATATTGATAAAAGTCTGATACAAGAATATTCTGTCGTCGATACTGCGCGATTGTCGATATGATTACAGCTGCCAAGGAATCTTAGCACAGACATGACGATGAGCAACGAAAAAGCCAACGAGGTACGAAAATACGTTATTCATAAAAATGAATCGAAGTGACATTTGCGTCGGTGAAATCATTGTCACGATATATCTTTGCTTTTCTCCAGTACACACCGTCGTTCAGAATCGAGGATAACGTATTGATTGGCGAGGAGGAAACTCATCCAGGATGCACGAACATCGGAGAACTGGTTCTCGATAGATTGAGGAGTAAGCCGGATTTCGTCGGACAGGTACCGTCACATGAAAATCTTATGATTGATTAGGCTCCATTGTGTCCGTACCTCTGTAAGCTTCAATTAGATCGACAAAATTAAGCGAACTTAGAAATGACAACGAGATAATAGAAAAATATATTGAATGAATAAGATTGCAATTGCAATAATTTAACTATAATGTATAGTCATTTTCGATTTCAGCTACATATTTGGTAGAATTATAGATATAATTATTATTATATTATGGCAGTAACTAAAAAATGGAGCTTTTAATAATAATTATTTTAACATGCAATTATAGATGATAATGATAATAATAATAATAATAATTATTATTATTATAGTTACTAATATCAAATATTTTTCTCTCAATATAAAAACATTTCTCTAATTTCTCGTATTAACGATTGGAGATACTGTTTATATAGTTTATGATAATATATCTTCATTTAAGGCAAATTAAGAAAAGAGAATGTTTTATCAATAATATACTGCCAAATTTAAAATAAGTCTATCAATGTAAAATTTACAAATGTATCTAAAAACTGATACAAATTTTTTAAATTTTGTAAAATTTAGATGGAGATTGTTTCGGGAAAAGAGAGTACCTACGCGGAAATGAAAGAACGAAGTATTAAATGTGCTTTGTGGTTAAGAAAGCACGGCATCCAAAAAGGCGACAAGGTTGGCATATGGACTCACAATCACATAGACACTTACGTACCAGTATATGCAAGTTTGTACGTTGCTGCAGTAATATGTCCGTGGGATGACATAGTATCGAAAAGTACGTCATTATTTTATGTTAATATATATTCGCCATTCTAATTATTGGTTAGCTAAATAACTTATGCACAGTTATAGTAACTCAATTATAATTAAACTGTAAAAAAAATATATAATACATATTCTGTATAATACATATTCTTAATAAAAAATGCAATTATTGAATTAATTTTTAGGTAAAAACTGGCAAAAATGTAATTCCCCGTTATATAATTTAAAAATATGTAAGGCACTTAAAAAAGTCAACTGAATAATTTCTGAATGGTTCGAGATATTAGTTTGAAATTTATAGGATACAATGGCATTATGAAATCTATTATTTAATCTTGAAGACACCCATTTCAACTTTCCTTTTGAAAATATTAAATGGCATGTGTCCAATGGAGGCTCGTTTGAAAGGGTTTTTCAAAACGAGAAAAATCGTGAGGTCTCTACAATTTTTTTTCGCAGAGTCATGCTTATTTGAAGGCTAATGTTATTTAGCGTTAGCGAGACCTACGGCGAGAAAGATAAGACTTCGCGTATATTTCTCACACATACACAAGCTCTTCCATCCACTTAGGAACATGCGCGAAGCCTTATCTTCCTCACGTCCTTGTCGTAGGCCTTGCTAGCGCTAAATAACACCAATGTTTAAATGAGTATGCGAAAAAAATCGTAGACTTCAACAATTTTTCTCGTCTGAAAAAGTCTTTTCAAACAAGCCTTTACTTAACTCCACATACCATTTAAGATTTTCAACTCCCCACCCCCTGGAGGGTTGAAGTTTTCAAGGTTAAATAATAGATTTCATGATGTCATTATAAATGCCACCCTATAAATTTCAAACCAATATCTCGAACCATTCAGAAATTATTTAGATGGCCTGTTTTAAGTGCCTCACTCTGTATATGGTACAAATAAATAAACTTCTTTCTAGTATCCGCACGGTACTGTCTATCGTTAACATCTCCGAAAGTGGTCTTCGCGAACGCAGAGTCCGTCGAGAATCTCGTAGAAGCTGCAAGGGAAGAAAATCTAGAAGTTAAAGTCGTAGTTATCGGCAGTCTACCAGGATTCGTGTCTTTGACGGACATCCTTCAGGATCAAGTTATCCCGTCGGAGATCGATGAGTTCCGTTGCACCGTAGTCGATAACCTTCATGACATAGCGATGATCTGTGCTTCTTCCGGTACGACAGGTATGCCAAAAGGAACTGAACTGTCTTACGTGTCCCTTTACAACAGCATCACTCCCGTCGAAGAGGTTCATATGATCAACGAGGTGTCATTATCAATACCCACAATACGGTGGCACTACGGGCTGAGTCTGATGTTCGAACTGATTACGTCTAACGCGAAATGGATCATTATTCCACCGGAAGCAGCCACGGACGAAGTCCAAATGTGTAAAATTATTCAGGATTACAGAGTGAGTTTGGAAAATAAATGTAAAAAATGGAGTAATTAAATTCTTCTAAACAAGCAATTAATAAAAATATTTAGAAATTCACCCCAATTTCAAATTATATGTTGTCTTACATATTTTTAAATTTTTAAACATGCATTTATTTGGAACTCTATGCAGTCTTGCAACCTTTCATTAACATGTACACATGTTTGAGAGAAAGAAAAAAAATATTTTTTTTAATTTTACTCAATGCAACACAATTACATAGTTATAATAACTATAAATTATTTATTATATATTTTTAGATAACATGGTTTGGATGCGATACTTCCTTTCCATACAGTTTACTCAAATATAATATTTCACAAAAATATCCCATGCCATCTCTAAAAAAACTCGTCATAACTGGTGGGCCATTTACAAAGAAAATACAAGAAGATGTTGCGAAAATATTGCCACATACTCAAATATTAAATTGTTACGGTAAGATGAAATGGTTAAATCAGAAATTTATTATTCGGTAATCAAAAAGCTATGACATTTAAAAAAGTTATCGAAAAAGGATCGTGAATACTATAAATATATAATAAATATATAATTCTATGCAAGCACAAATATTTTATATCTACAAAAAAATGCTTATAAAAATATTATTACGTCAGATTGCGACATTATATAAAATCATTTAATTTTTCCTTCTGAAAAATTTTTAATCATCTGAGAGTATTTCTTCAGGCTTGACTGATGCGGGAGGATTATGCGCGAGCCAAGCGAAAAATAGTAAGCCAGGTTCCTGTGGCTTTGTCACCAAGGGAATACGAATAAAAGTACTGGACGAAAAAACTGGCGAAGCTTTAGGACCTAACCAGAGAGGTGAACTTTGCATAAAATCAGAATTTATAATGAAAGGTTATCACAAAAATCTAGAAGAAACTAAAAACGCCATCGATTCAAATGGTTAGTATTCGGACTAATAAAATCACGTATCTGCAATATCTTTCATTCTATCTATAATATTCATTTTCTGTGTATAAAATTACTACAATAAGTAAGAAACTTAAAATATTTTTGTATATAAACTATTCTTGCAGTTTCTCTCTCTCTCTCTGTCTCTAAGATTTGTTTAAATATCTCTCTTAAATATATAAATTTTATTCAGCTATAAAAATTATTTCGATCAACTTTTCATATTCAATATAGATTATCATAATAAAAAAACATTTGTCTATATTATAATACGATTGCCAAGTAATACAAAGAAATATTAAAGAAAGTAAATTTATATACATAAATCTAAAGTCACTTAAGTAAAATAATTTTTATTTACATATACAGGCTGGCTACATACCAAAGACATAGTATATTACGATAAGAAAGGCGAAATTTATTTTGTCAATAGAATTTCGGATTTTATTAACTACAAAAGCATTAAATTGTCACCCGCAGAAATAGAAGGTGTACTTGAAATTCATCCTTCAGTTTTCCATGCCGTGGTGGTTCCAATACCACATGAAACGGATGTAGAACATCCGATGGCATTTATTCAAAAAGTGATCGGAAAAGAGGTACGTTACAATTGTATGATATTTAAGAAAACAAAATTTTTTTAAAGAACATGTAAAAATCTTTTCAAAAAAGTCTTAAAAGTATATAAATACTTATATATAATGAAAACCTAATATTGCCATTTATGATTAAAATCATTAATTTTTTTCGTCAAGTTTGTTACAGAGAGAGAATTATAATTTATCATATCCAATTTTAATTAAAGCTTAGAGAGATTGTAAAAAAACAGGATCAATTTTCAGGTAACAGAGGAAGAACTGCATGATCTAGTGGATAAAAATTTACCGTGGTATTGTAAGCTTGTAGGAGGAATCAAATTTATGGACAAACTTCCGCGTGTCAGTACTGGAAAAATTGATAGAAAACAACTAAAATCATTAGCAAAAAGTTAAACTGAAAGTATTATACATTTCAAGATAAGTAGATGTAATGTAATACAAACTGCCATTTAAAGCAATGATAAAGAACTTATAAAATAAAAGTAAAAAAAAGATAAAGACTATTATTGAAATATGTCAGTTAAAACTCTGCTGTAGATTACTTCATCCCACTCCTGCTCAAAGATTATTTTCAGCAATCATCAGATTAAATTTGATTAGATTATTCTTTGATTCAAATTCATTTCATATCTATTTATTTATATATACATACATCTATTTACTTATTATATAATATAGATTTAACTCATTATATATAGTATGGATTTAATATACCTTGATGAGATGCATAAATATGAAGACGATTGAACAAAAATATTGGTATGTGCGAATGTGAGTTTATAGATAGCAATATAACAAAATATCTAATATAAACTACATGTAATAAATTATATACATACAAACTATAAGTGAGGCAAATTAATAATATTTGCATGTTATGTCATGAAATGTATAAAATGCATTAATTTTTCATTATAACATCATTAATTTGTGAGTCCATTATATACAAATATCAATGATAATTTTGCATATATTGAATATTAGTTATTATTGATTACATGATTTCAAAATTTGGAAAATATATTGCTACATATGAATTGTTAAACTTTGCACCGATGAATAGTATACCATTCCGTTCGCTCGTTTCATTTTAAAATGCGCCTAATGTTTGCAAATCTATTTCAAACATCTCTCTTTCAAATTAAAGGAAAATAAAAATAAATAATCAAAGAAACCAAGAAAAGGAATATACAACAAAAAAGCTTGATCTCTACCGAAAGAAACCGAACTTTTGAAAATCACGAAACAACATATTCAACAATGACTCTTGGTCTCCATGCATATGTTATAGAGCGCGTCGAACTCTATGGGTTACAACAATCAAATGCATGCATTTTTTCGAACGTGTGCGATTGACGCGCGGTATAACGCGCATCAACGCGTGCATAGAAATTACGAGTTACTCGAATCATCACTGCATTCGGATGTGTGTCGTTCAATTCCGAGATTGTATTGTGCCAGTTGCTCCGAGCTATAACTCATTTCCGAGAAAGCTATGCGCGCGTGAGTGTAATAAGGAAGTGATATTCCATTCCCGATTCTCTTCTCCCCCAGATGTCACAGTACACATATTTTTCGCAGACGAGTGGGAGAGATAATATAACGTAATAAAAGACCTGATAATTCTGATTTGATTTATATTGTATTGAACTTACGCGAATGTAATCAAGCTATTAAAGTAGACACAAAAAAAAACAAAAATTATTAGAGAATTTATAAAAATGTGTGAACGAATAATAGCAATCGATAACAAGAAGGTAAGAAGATATTTAAAGAAGATATTTAATTCCTAAATGTAAAAAATAAATTTTCGTTGCAGTTATAAATGCTCTATAATTAAAAATAGTTAATAATATTTGTTAAAATATTCAAATATTTCTCGCTTTGTATAACTCACGGATTAACTTTTTGAGAAAGAGAGCCAGAATTTTAATTATTTTACCATGATTATCTTCTAATCTTATATAATTACATTTGTTGTGACAAGTTCCAATACTTCCAATGATATGAATTTATTTAAGAATTATCGAGATTATCGATAATTCTTAAAAGAATTCATATCATTGGAATTTGTCACATCAAATTCAATTATATAAGATTCAAATCTCTATAAAATATATAAAATATATTCAATATAAGGAAAAATATCGAGTACTCTATCTGTATATTTTTATATTTATATGCGGATAATATTTAACAAGAATTCGGCGATAAAACCTTTGTATCGCCATAAATAATTATCAAATTTATTTAATTATATTTTATAATTTAAAATAATTACATCGTTAAAATTATTTATCGCTTGCATGTCATTAAGTCTTCATTTTGATCCCGACAATTCAACAATTGCTCGTTGTTTATTAAATGCAAAATTAATGTGCCAATGTATTCACTTTATATTTTTATTAAGCTTTTAATGACGTGTCACATCAATGTCCCTGTTTGACATGTATAAACATTACGACATTCTCTTTATTATTTCGAATAAAGAATGAGCAATAGGGAAAACTTTCTGAAGATTATTTCATTTAAAATCTTTTTGTAAAATCCTATTGAACTGTTTAATTGCGCGGAAGATTTTAATATACTAGTTATTGTAAGTAAATTATCGAGAGATTATTACTTAACAATTCGTATCAACCTTAATGTAATTTTATTTAAACACTCCAGAAACTCCATTATCACGATGCTATTCGTGAATTCAGAATAGAAGACAATATTCTAATAGGCAAAGAAATACCAATAAATAGAGAACCTATTAACATAGCCGAGGTGCTACTTAAGACGTTGAAAAGCAAACCAAATTGCATTGGCCAGGTATTTTAACGAACATATCTTTCGTTAAATCTATATACTACGTATATTATTGACGCAAAACGATTATATCATTGTGTATCATTAATTCGCTCTGTAGGTGGACGCTTTTACGGGTAAACAGGACACTTATGCCGACATGAGTGAGCGCAGTATTAAATGCGCCCTCTGGCTAAAGAAGCAAGGCGTTAAACCCGGCGATATAATCGGTCTTTGCTGTGACAATGACATGGACGCAATCACAATTATGTTGGGCACTATGTACCTAGGTGCTATATCTAATCCATGGGACTACGAGTTGTCTCCAAGTAAGCATTTCCATTTTCCTGCAATCGTTATATGTTATATGTTATAAAATTATACAGAAAAATACATACGTAAACACATTTACTTTATTTCAAGCGCAATAACAAAGAGTAATAAAATATATAATACATAAATTTAATTTAATAATTTACTACTGATCTAATTGTCGTTTAAAATTTATGTCCTATATACAAGTAAACCTTCCGCACAATTAATTATTCATTTACATTTATTTTCGCCCATTTAATTATTCATTTACATTTATCCAGTGACAGCACGATACTTTCTCTCGTTAACATCACCAAAAATAGTTTTTGCGACACCGTCATCGGTCCCGAGCTTGGAGGAAGCAACGAAAGAGTTGAAAATAAATATAAAAATAATAGTTTTCGAAAAATTGGACGGATACAAATCCGTGAAAGATATCTTAAGAGGTCACGACACCAGCGAGGTCACCGAATTTAAATGTGCCAAGATCAGTAATCCGGACGACGTTGCTCTCATCGTTCTTTCATCAGGTACTACGGGCATGCCGAAGGGTACCGAGATATCGCATTCATCTTTATATAATTGCCTGCTACCCGAGAAAGTCACGGAACTAGAAGGTCACACGTGTATGTGGTCGCCCACGTTGCGCTGGCATTACGGGGTCCAGCTGGCATTTCAAGCCATCTTAGCGTATTCGACGAAAATTCTTTCACCCAGCAGCGTGATAATTAATAACGATGACGAGACAATGTGCAGATTTATCGAAAAATATCAAGTAAGCTCTATTTCAAGTTATTCTGCAATCTGTTGTAAAATTAACTTCGCAGACAATAATTAAGTGAAGAAATATGATATTAATTACGTTTGCACTTTTTGATTATAAGGTAACATGGTTTAGCACCGAACCAGGCATGCTAATCCGATTTTGTAAGAGCGGCATATTAGAGAAATATAAATTATCGACCTTGAAGGAGGTGATGAGTACCGGTGATCACTTCAAAAAAGAGCATCATCTAGCAGTAGCAAAGAAATTACCTCACGCTTTTGTTATGAATAGCTATGGTATCAGCCGATTTGACTTAAAAGTATCATTATATGATATTATATAATACATACTATTATATTTCAGATCAGTCTTCATTTCTTTTAGATCTGTAAATTTAGTAACATTATATTCTTAAAAATATTTTTTAAATATCGAGGAAATGATACTGAATATGTTACATTTTAATAAGTGAAAAACGCACTTTACTCGAATAATAAGGGCAAAGATATTACTAACAAAAAATTTTTATGAATTTATTTCCTTAAATTTATTTAAGATAATATTTACAGTAGCATTTTCGTATCATTTTACTTATCGATATCGTGTCATATTGTAATAATTATCACAAACGGCCTATTTAGGATCAACGGACTCAGCAGCTGATGTAACCGTTATGACCAGAGGCTGCAAACCAGGATCTGTTGGTTTTGTAGTACCCAATGTCCGAATAAAAGTGACGGATGTAGAAACTGGGAAAACTTTGGGAGTTAATCAAAATGGAGAACTACGTTTGAAACTGCCCACCGTAATGAATGGTTATTACAAGAGACCTGAAGAGACTAAACGAGCTTTCGATTCTGACGGTATGCAACTGTATAATCGAAATGTCAAACAACTGAGAAAATCACTTAGCAGTTTTGACTCCAATATATGAATTACAAAGATATTATGATTGGAGAACTAATACAGAAACACTAAACATTTCAGGTTGGTTACTTACTGGCGACATAGGATATTACGATGACGACGGAAATGTTTTCCTTATCGATAGAATATCCGAGTTTATCATTTTCAATGGTATAAATATTTCGACCGCAGAAATCGAGCATGCCTTAAGAACTCATCCCGCGGTATCTCAAGTAGCGGTAATAGGAATACCTCACGAAACTGATGGACAGCATCCAATGGCCGTCGTTTCTTTATCAAATGAAACGGTAAAAGCTGTAAAATTCATTCATACTCATTCTAGGCAGTGAATATGGGAAAAACGTATTATTCAAAAGGCATATGTTTCATTGTATTTATCATGAAAACGTTTCAATTCAGATAACGGAAGAGGAGCTCCATGAATTGGTGGCAAACAATCTACCGGAATACTGCAAGCTTCGCGGTGGAATTAAGTTCCTCGATAAACTCCCGCGCACAGCTACGGGTAAAATCGCGAAGAAGCAACTTCGAGAAATGTTTGCGAATTAAAATACTGTTGCATATGTACAAATAACATACGCGCGCACACACACGCACACGCACTGTTATCGTTACAATATAATTTATAAGAAATATTCAGACTAGCTGCTTAACAGTAATAATGTCGGCTAAAAGGATAGCAATTTTCAGTTAAGGTATGTTAAATAAGCGAAAACGATACACTGCCTTCTTGCATAAAGAAACGTTTCTCGTACATACCATAAATCGATTTTTTAAATAAATAAATTTCAGGAATTATACAAACATTCATTAAAAATCAAATCAAACATACCACTGATATTCAATGGGGATGTTTTACAGAATTCATAGTATTGAATCAAAAAGAAATTCATATACTGAATCAAAAAGATAATTATAACAATTTCGTCAAACGAGCACAAAAAGATATTTGATAAGTCGAGAGTTTGTCATGTAGCAAAATAACAATCCTAAACATACTTCTAAACTTTGTAAAACCTATTTAGAGATAGACACAATAAGAAATCATAAACTAGACATCACAATTGTCAGATCTGAATCTCATTGAGTTGCTATGGGAACAATTGGACCGAAAAGTACGAAAACATTCTTCGATCTCTGAGGAAAATCTTTCTGGACTATCTTACAATTAGAAATTATCTAGAAACAACTTATATCCGAAATATTAGAAAAAGTAGAAAGCCAATAATAGTAAAAAATATTATAAAAGTATTAATATTATAAACCAAAAGTAAATTTCTTAAAGATAATACAAAACAGTGAAAATCTTGTGTTTATTAATATATTTTTTGCCTATTTAGTTTAGTTATATTAATAAAACAGGGTTTTATTTCTGTTTTGACTAAAAACATTTCTGTTATTAAAATTTTTTGTATGGTGTTTATTAGTACAAAGATACCAAGTACACAACCTATACTACTATATAGATAAAGTGACTCACGCCACATTTTAAGTATTAAAAAAATTTTTAATTGTCTTTAAAAACTAATTATTTTCAAGAAAGATATCATTATCACCAAGCAATTTGATAATTTCAGTACAAATTACAGCCTTCTCTATTCGTAACACACACATACAGTAACAAATAATCTACTCGGGTCTAAGTTGTTTCCAAGGTTAAAAACTATAATTATTACGCAAAATTCACGATAAAATTCTCTATGTGTCCGAAAGACTACAGTGTTATTAAGACACAAATGAGCAGTTTAACGCTACATATCGCGTGAGTCGCTACCTGAGTGTCACAAAAAGTACAAATAACAAAGTTAATATACAATTTATAAAAATGTGTGATCGGAATATTACTAAAGCAACTACTAAGAACGAAGTACAAAATTCGTAATTCATGTTTTACTTTACTGTTATTAAAAATTACATTTAAAAATTCTTTTCATTTTT